TGGAGGTGGTTCTCCATGGAAGAGCGGAGCTCTACACTGACAGTGGATGGTTTTCTCTTGATATTTGTAAAGCTTAATTAGATACAAAAGGCCTATAAAATAACGAAGCCAAATTCTACTTTTGGTAAATATGCAGGTTTGCATTACTAATTTGGAGTAGTAGGATTAATGTCAGCTACACTTGATACACCTCTTAAGCTAGCTAGTCTGAAATGAGATGATATAAGCAATGTTGAGCCTGGCTTCAAGCTATGACTGAGCCGTATATAATTATTAGTCAATTTTAATACATGCTAAAAGCAATCTACTGAATTTAGAAGAGCAATAGAAATGCTCGACAGATTTTGCTTATGCGTAAGTTAGATAATTAGCAATGTACAGATCAAGTCATGACAATTAGCATAAGCATTTCATAACAAAATTAGCATAAACAGAAGTTAAACATAACATGGTGTACATCAACAAAATATGTTTTCCTGCATTATTACATCACAGCCCTACACTTACCCACAAATGGACCCTGATTCCGCCCCTAAGCCACACATTATGTCCATCTTTTCAATTGTTTTAGACTAGTTCATGTTTTCCTTCTACTGCCCTTTATCTGAATCCTTTCAACTCTTTCTCTTAAATTTCAGGAGGATGACATATGTCAGGAGGATGACATATGGAAGCCGGAATATCTTAAAATTTTCCCTGAAATACCGCCAGGGGATTTCATGAGACTTCTGGAGGATGACTTATAAAGTGGATTATTATAAAATTTTCCCTGGAATACCGACAGGGAATTTCACGGGTATGGCTATATTTTGCTGCATTATTATGGTTTTTTTTGACATTCGTCTAATTATGGAATATTATTGTTTTAACCTTTTTTTGTAACGTGCAGGGTTCTCAAATGTTTCCTCCATTTGTGAGAAAGAATTGCGGTAAAGCTCTGCAAGGAAAATGCCATTGACTGCCAGTGCCATGAAATCTACTGCAACTGGATGCAGTGAGTTATTTTAGTACTGAGTGCATGAACACTAATTTGGTCGTTGTGTTGGGATATTTGAACTTGATATTATTCGTATAAACTACAAGGCATCACAGGTGTGATGCGCAGGTAGATAATATTGTTTTTGAGTTAAAGATCTATTTATATGAAATTTTGATTTTTGATTTTTGGATTTTTTTTAATTTTTTATTATATTTATTAAAGATAATTATTTTTTTATAAAAAAAATATTAATAAATTTTAACTATTAAAAATAAAATTATTAAAACTTTATATAAGCATAGTGTGTAACTAGACTTTTACTCAATATTTTTTAGAATATTGTTGCTTATAATCTGTCCCAATGTAATTTATTGTAGAAATTTGAATCATTCCCCTAAGGAACCCACAAACACATAAAGAAGCTGTCCATCACATTCTAATAGAAAGTTTTGGCTAAAGAAGTCACAAAGGACACTCAAGTAAAAATATCTTCTCTTCACTCAAAGCCACTAAATTCTTCTTTATACCAAGAAAGTAGAATTCCCCGTGATAAAATGTTGGATAATTGTCATTAGCTACTATGAATGAATATGGCAAAGAAACTAGGTCATTTAGTCCATTTTTCATCACCATTTAAGAAGACAGTTAATGAAATAACTGTCATCATGATTAGGGAGTAAAATAATAACACAATCTAAAGAGTTAGGTGAAGATGTAATCGCAAACTTCTTCACATTTAACAAACGTAAAGTTTGGGAGTAGACTGGTTTTCTTAGTAGAAGCATTCCAAGGGAATATGGAATCTTCACCTTCTAGCATCAGGTACCAACCTCCCCATAAATGGTACATCGTGACATCCCAATACATCACCCGCAAGAACCTGAACTAATGTCAGAGTAAAATGACATTAAAATTGGTGTGAAGGAGGCAATAATGAGCAAGAACTTGTAGATTAACAAAATTCATTTTTCCATAATGAAATAATACCACAACAATGTAAATATTTGTTGTGTTTCGAATAGCGGGTTTCATCCAAGCAAAACTGCAAGAATCTTCAAATATCTAGGCCAAAGGTTGAATGAGTAAATGAAAGCAAAAGCAACTTCACCAATTGAATCTGGTAGATTCTTGGGGTTTGAGAAATAATATTGCCACATCATGAAGTCATTCGAATTTCATAATGGAACGAAGGCAAGAGAAAAATGATCCGTGCTGTTACTTGAGACAATGCAAGAATTTTGCATGAGCTCTGAGACC